ACGACGGCCAAGACTCCGACTTGCTCCAGTCTGAGGCGGATCAGAGCGACACGCTCGCTGACTGGGTTCCATTCGATGACGCTTTCGGCCAGTTGGGGACTGATGAGTATCCCTACTCCAGCCTGAGCAAACACGGTCGAGTCGACTCCGCTCCAGTAGAGGGTCCATCCGTGGTCTAGAGAAATGGAACCGGTGCCTCTCTTCTTGGTTGAGGCTAGGCCAACTATATCTAGTCGTCTCCTCCACGAGTTCAGGCCCCTTACCGCCGAGTGTTAGCAGGTTCCAAGTCCCGATGTTCAGAGTCCGTTGCCAAAGCTTCCAACTTTGGCTTCCAAATCCAGCATGATGAGTTCGGCTCGGGTACTCCATACTGGCCCAGTCGTCGCCCAGGATAATCAGGACTGCGATAGTCACTGTGCGCCCAGGGTGACTATCGATAAGTTGGCTTCTGGGGCCGGGCAATCCGATGTCTCTGGGTGCGTCGGACCCCATCCAGGCCAATCGGTCGGCTTGCCACCGGCCATGGCGTACTCTCGGCACGGTGCCCCAAGGGCAGACAGGAGCAGAATCGAACGGTAAAGCTTTGACCTTCAACAAAGCGATTTCCATCTGTTTCCATTCATGAAAAAGCATCTCAGTGGCCGTCATTTTCGGTCGGTTGCTGAGGTGGTGAAAGAGGTAAAAAAAAAAAAAAAGGCCACTTGCACAAGACATGCTACGCTGCCGCCATTGAAAATATTATGCCTCGGTGAGACAAATGCCTCTTCGTCCAATAGGATTACATGCAAAAGTAGACCCTCGTAAGCACTCTATGCAGCACCTGTATCGATTGGTTTCAATAAATACAAACACTTTGGACACCGGGTGTAAAGTTTTTTTTCCAATCACCCCTCGTATTTGACGAAAAAGTCGAACTGAAGGGAGAAAAAAAATCCATTCTCTTTGACGTGCGAATATCGGCGTTAAACTTGTGCCCGCGTAATGGAGAATTCCTCGAGCTTGGCAAATATGAAAGTTGCATGAAGATCCGTGAAGCGCTTCAGATCCTACAACCCCCTCAAACATTGCGCATCCGCCATTATTGAAGAGGATATTCCGAGGCAGAATCTACACGGAATATGGTGATGAAGGTATTGACACAAACGGAAGACTGTGCTCGAACAGAATTACGGAAGAATTTTCGATACGTTATTCGGGAAGCGAGCAGTCCCCTGGGAAAAAGCAGTAATCCCAGCCTAGTCGAGTCAACCACCCGCCTTCCTTTGAGAGGATGTTTCAAAATGGGATCTGATTTCTCCTTGATATTCGGAGGTCGGAGGTCACTGTGAGCTTATAATTAGCCAAATTTCAAATCCCAGACCCTCGATTTTTTAGTTGCTTCCTACCTTAAGCAGTCGAGAGAAGCAAAAAAACGAAGCGGACGGGTTCTACGACCATTCTGAAGGTAATTATCGCTTCGAGAACGGGAACGAGTCGACCCGACAAAGTGACTTCTGCTCGAATCCTTTTCGACCGGGACGAAAGGGGAAGCCCGTGACTCCAGACTCATGAATCACCCTGTTCGCTCCGGTACCACACCATTCGAGGCAGTGGAGTTCCTTGTGCCCATTCCCTGCATGGGATGGTCCTAAAGAGGACTGAACAAAAGTTCAGCCTACTTCGTTTCATTGTCGCATCCGTACGCCGACTGGCTCGTGCAATACCAAGAATAAATAGTACCGCTCTTTCCTGATGCAAGGTCGAGACGGGTATCTGGCTGCATTGATTTTTTTTTCCCAATTAAGAGATATTAAAAAACTTTAGTCGTGACAACCACAGATTAATTTAGAATTTAAATAATACACCTTTATCAAAAGCGACATTTGATGTATTCTTCTGGTCCGGCAACTGCTCCCAGATTAGCCTGCCACTGCTTTATCTTCCTAGAGCAATAGCTTAAAGAGTGCTTATCCTATTATGTGAGATAAAATGCACGCACAACTGCGATGTTTTGACTCGCGCTGCAAAAAAAAATGGGGAGAAACTATTGGTTGTTCTTGCTTGAAAGGACCTTCATTCGATCAGGGAAGAGTAGTACCATCTATCCGCGAAATTGCATGATTGCATCTGAATTTTACGAAAGTAACAATCAAATGAGAAAAGGTGCACACTTTTTTGGCCCACCCTGTACATTTGGAGGTGAAACGATGGACGCAGCTCCTCCCATGGATGGCCATCGCGGCTGGACCTCCCAGCCTCACGCGAAGCAAGCTGGTGAAAATTTCAGCAGCGGGCAGGTCGGGAATGTTTCATGGGCGATGATTGGGGTTTCCTCCCCCGTCACGGAATCCCCTCCGCTCGTTGGATGTCGTGCTCCACGCTTCGGTCGCTCCGTCGTCATTCCGCGGATTTCCGTCTGCCCTGAGAGTGCCGCCGGTTCTTCCTCGCGGGTTGCCCTTTTTTTCGTGACTGACATCTCTCGTCCTCGTTTTCCCACGCAAGTGTTTCTGACTTTTTCGATGATATGCGCAAGGATGTGGAAAGGACTTAAGCTAGTAGTCGGGTCGATTCAGGCGGTTTTCCCCATCTCATGATTACGATTTCTCTCTGCCCGTACTTCGTTAGGAATTCTCAAAGGATTTACTGAAGCCATTGAATTGCGTCTATTCTTCCTTATGAGAATACAGCCGAACTCGGTTATAACGACGAAAAGCACCAGGTCCCGGCGTAGAGCCCATGAGGCACGTTACATTTTACCTCGATTATAGCGAGCACCTCGGTTATAACGAAGTCCATTCAAAGTCCCACTGACGTTCATGCCCCTAATCTCTCTTAACTGAAACTTCCGTCATCGGAAAAATGAGCGTTGGCGAGCTATAACTTTATATTTCCTGGAATCGGCATTCCTTGAGAGTCGTGTGGGTGTGGCTGGAGCAAGGTTAGGGAGGGATAATCCCCAGTAAATAAGATCACCTTACCTACAGTCGCCATTTGCATTTCTCGCTGACAACATGACTATTAGAAAACGAAAGACGCCAGCCTTCACGATTGAAAAGAAAGTGTGCTCGATTAGTTTCATAGAAAGTGCTCGAAGTAAAGTTAACGTCGCCCGCGAACATGGACATCTGTTCATCTGTTTCCACAATTTGGGAAAATCGCGACAGCTTCATCCGTGCTCACGAGAACATGTCACAAAACAAAAACTTCCTAGATCTGTCGAGATGACGTCGACGAGGCCTTGCCAAAGTATAAAGTAGTTCAAGGTCCAAAGAAGTGCGAACATCACGATTAGTAGGTTAATCCTGAAATTGAAGCAGTGCGGTATGACCGATGTACACTGGAGTTGTAACGTTATATATCATCAATATTGAAAACAGGAAAACGGAATGCTAATAAAGGCAACCTCGGTTATAACGACGGTTTTTTCCTGGTCCCTTCGTTGACGTTATAACAGAGTTCGACTGTAGTTCATAAAGTAAGCCCCCTTTTCACTCCTAAACATGGGCGTCTTCTGCACTCGATGAGTCGTACTACTGTAATATTATACGAATAAGGTATGTTCTACTCGATTCTAAGTTTCGAAAAAAAAAACAGTCGATAGGACTAGGTAGTCGAGTTTTGTTCTCTGTCTAATATTAAAAAATATATAGTTTTTAAATATCAGGATAAGAGATTTATGGAAATCATGAGACATTAGCAAATAGGATTTGCTGTTGCAGGCATTAGAGGTTGGAAAACGAACGAGAATGAGCTGCATCGAGGCACTCAACGGTGCCTGTGAGCCACCCTTGGACGAGTTAGAGACCTTCTCTAGCAACGGCAGCATGCTGAGCAACGGCAGCCTGCTGAGCAACGGCAGCCTGCTGATCAACGGTAGCCTGCTGGACAATGGCTGCCTACTGCTCAACGGCAGCCAAACGGGCAATTGCTCTGTCAACGCCGACGAGGCGGACCTGGCGTGGGATGACGCCACGTGGATCCTCACCTCTGCCTTCATGATTCTCACCATGAAAACAGGTGCTGCATGGCCTTAGACCAGATTGCCCGAAAGGTAGATCGGAAAGGGGGAATGGGCACTGTTCGTTCGGCAACGTTTTCAACAGAATCAAACGGGAATGGAAATCGACTCGATAACTTTCAGACCTGTATCGTAGCTGGGCGATTTACGATCGATCGTTGTCCGGTTAGAGGTGAAAAGCAGGAGTGACACGAATGCTCCAGTGGCACTCGTATAAGTTTTTTTTCCTAGCTCTTATAGTTTAGGCTGTGGAGCACCCCCTCCATCTATGTGCTATCTATGTGCAACATCCTGTACATCAGGGTGTCGCGAAGCAGGCGACCATCCATCCAGCCGTTTATACCATCGACCATCATCTGCATGCAGCCTTTTGGTCAATTTTTTTTTACATGTCTTTAAGCTTTACCTTTGGATATTTTCAAACGAATCTGTAATTTGTCCAGCTTGGAGTTGCATTCATGGCAAATTTTGTCGCCCATTTCTTCACGGTTTTCGAGATTTTCGAGGGAATTCATTCAGCCGAACGGGGCGAAGGAACTTTTCCCCTTTCGCTAAGTCGTACAGCATGAAGCAAAATTGCTGGAGCAATTGAAGGGCTGAAAGGCAAAGTGGTCTATCGGCAAAAAAAAATTATTTCCTGGAGCTCCGCGTGGAATGAGTGAATATTCCAGTCTTGTTAAAAGTGAGAAAAGTGGTATGTATCGACAGATCACTTCATCCTTTTTTACATAGTTAAAAAAAAACTATTTTATATGAAAGGAACAAGGTTCTATAAGCACAAAACCAACTCACTTTTTTCAGAAAATTTTTTGCAGATAGACCACTTTACCTTTCAGCCCTTCAATTAACCCTGCCTCAGTTAAGAAAAACTTTTTTTCCCCTTCCTTTCCCAAACCCCAGGGCGAGGCGAGAGAAAAAAAAAAGGTTTTTCTTAACTGAGACAGGGTCAATACCGCGTGCCCTTAAGGTACCACTCACGCCGAGAAAGAGTCGTTGCACCTCGATGCGAAAACCGTACCGTAAAACTCCTCCAGGGTTCAGTCTGATGGAGACGGGCTACGTGCAGCCGAAGAACGAGATCAACCAGCAGCTGATGAACGTGGTGGACATCTGCTGCCTCGGCGTCTCCTACTGGATCGTCGGGCACGGCCTCATCTATGGGGACAGCTACGGCACCTCCCCGTTCGCCGGCGTCGGCAACTTCTTCTTCGGTGAGTCTCGATGGCCTGGGATGGCCTGGAAGTGGGAAGCATGAGGGAAAATGGAGACAAAAATGAGTCATTTCCAGCTGCGAATTGTCTACATTGAGAGGAATGTGAATTTTGCCAATCTTTTATGTAAATTGTGTGGCACAGTTCATGCATGAGGCTGAGAATATTTTGAGAAAAGCCCTAATAATATATTAGAGAAAAGCATAAACTTCCACGTCAATCCAAGTCAAGTAGCTCCAAATCATGTCTGGAAGACACTGTTTGAAAATTTAAATTAAAAATTAACAAAACTTCGTGACTTTTTTGCATCTGGGTCATTCCACGGCAAAAGGGACAAATGAATCAAAATTCCCAAACGAAAGGGCAATCCAACAATGGATCCACAAAGAGTACATCCTCAAGTACAGGGTGGCGCACGAAAAACCGGCCCGCCTCGTAGGCCATCGTGGGCGTAGGTCTCGGACTCCGTACAGGAAATTAAACAAATGCAAATATCTGTACTTACCGGTTAGACGGGGCTCGATTCTTTTTTGCGTTTGCAACTGACCCTGTTGTACGCCACTTTTTAACCAAATCTTGTATACTGCTCTTTGCTGGTAGGCCAACGCCAGGAAACTTACTTGCAAAAATGTCCCGCGTTTCCTTAATGGAGCCGGTACACACGTACGCCTCCACTATTGCGATTCTTTGTTGAAGAGAATACATCTTGCAGAGCTCCTTTACACACTGCTATAGCCACTTCTTCACGGCTTTCGACTGACACAGACTTTGGAATAGCCAGCCAGACACCGTCGCAACATGGAGTCGGTCGTGACGGAATTTGTCTGTGTACACGCTCGTGATAGGCGGTCGGAGACGGGCCGGTTTTTCATGCGCCACCCTGTACAACAAATTCCGTGTTTTGATCATCTTGACTACGATGTCATGCAACATCGCCATCATCACCAACAGGTTGACCGCCACGAGGCGCACCGGTGCGTCTCCTGAATGGGAAAATCAACAGGCCCGCATTGCTGTGGCGGTCAACGTGTTAATTTAAGGCATCCAAGATGGCCATTTCTCCACTGGTATGATTTCTTGAAGACGTTGCGTAGACAAGAGCTGAAAATCTGGGGGTGGGCGTATGATGCGTTATGTCAAATGAGCCATCTTATCCTCAGTTACCGATGGAAACGAATCTTCTGCGACGTCTTGAAGAAGAATGCATTTTCACTTGTAACATGAGTCACGAAAATTGCCATTTTGATCGTTACCACTCTGTCTTTGCTTTCACGAGCAAATACTGCTGCTTCCTACAATTACAATTACAATACAATTAGTCCAATCAATCAAAATAGGACTTGGACCGCGAACTGCATCGGTGCAAAATCCATTGGTTGTGCAACTTATGTAACGTGAGTCACGCAGTGATCGTTTTCTTTCTCTATATTGATTTGTTGTGTACGTGAATAAAATAATGCAATAAAGTGCTGCTGAATGACAGAAACGAAGGAGAGAAAAGCAGAAGCAAGAAGGGAAGTATAATGAAAGTATCATGCTATGGAAAAAAAAGGTTAGCTACTCGAAACTTCCCAATAAAACCCATATTTTAAAACGGATTGAATTCAAAATTTAAAGGAATATTGCCTAGCATGCTCTTCAATACGTGTTCAAATTTCATGTGGCTTCAATTTTGCATCCGTGAGTCATGGCAGATTTTCTTGAAATTAATCAAATGCTGAGTGAAAAGGATTGCGAGGCGAGAATCCACATTTGAATCTTACTTTAAAATTCCGTTCCTAAGAGATCATAATTAAAATGTTACAGGTCACCAAATGTGTGTTTTTTCACTATCTGAAAATGTATTGCTTATGCATAAATTTCATGAATTCCAATGCAAATGTGGATTCATGTTTCGCAGCGGCACTGGCAGGCCTGTTTTTTTTTTGTTTTAAAAACCCGGGAAGAATATATTAGGTAACGTTCCATTAAATTTGCAAGACAATCCGTTCAAACGTAAGGACTTTATTGCCAAATTTTGAGCGTTTTTTTTTTTACCAACCCTGTACATACGAGATACGTACTACAACCACAATACTGATTTTTGAACGTCTGGGGCGAAACTCGAATTGCTTCGATGACTGGTATTGATATAATCCATCATCATCATCATTCATCGTCCTTCCCTTCTTGTTTCAGCTTTTCCTCCTTCGTTTCTGCTGTTCAGCAGCACTTTATTGCATTTTTTACACACTAACGCGCCAAACCAAGATAGAAAAAGAAATTCAACATTGTGTGACTCACGAAAAAGCCAAAAGATTTTGACCCGATGCAGTTTATAGCCTGAGTCATATAGTGCTGGATTGGAACCCTGTCTAGCTAAGAGGAACCAACAACATTTGCCCGTGAAAGCAAACACACAGTATTTTTTAATTAAAAGGCCAATTTTCGTCACTCAATTTTTACGTGAAAACCCATTCATCCTTAAGACGCCGCAAAAGATTTGTTTTCACTGGTACTTGAGGATAAGACAACCTCTTTGACAGGACGCAACATACAAGACTGATCAAAGAGGAATGGAACTTTGGCTGTAGCTCATATATTATTCGTCGAAATCATTGGCCACGATGGAATGACCCATCTTCTTATGCAAAAGGCACATGCAGAAAATAATAGATTCAACATCCTCTGCATTGGAAACTGCATCGAACGTTGATGAGCTCTCTAAAATTGCCCACGATTGACCAACTGCACGTTGAAGGTACTTGAGAAATCCATCAATTCGAAGCTGGGCAAGGGTTTAATAATCCACGTCACTCTGCTCGCAGTAGAGCTATTTTAATTTTCATTGAGCACAGAGAGGCTTGTTCCCAACAGACCTGTGACAAACTTAAAACCATCTGCAAGAAAAAGCAAGCTCAAAAAATGAATGGAAGTTCAATTGTTGTCTGGATGACATGCAAATAGAGTGCTGAGGTGTTTCCTCCACTAAAATAACCGTCACGAGTTCTTGTCTAGTTTTAATATCCTACTTATTTTAAATAATTACTCATCACCTTTCCTTAGCGAGATGAGTTCGGAAGAAAGTTCGAATATCGACCCATATCAGGAACATATCCATTACGCAGAGTGAAAGTATCGTGAAAAATGATTCAATTGGCTGCAGAGATAAAAAATATATATTTAAATAGTCTTTCTGCGTATGATGCGAACTGTTACCCGTCTTCCATAGCAACGAGCGAAGACCAAAGCGGGAGCGAGTACTCGACGTACGCGTTCGAGCTGTCGCTGGCCGCCCTGTCCGCGACCATCGTCTCGGGGGCCATCGCCGAACGAGTCAAACTCCACGTCTGGCTTCTATACAACTTCTTCTCCGTCTTCATCTATTCCATCCCTGCAGGTGATAGGCTGTGATGGGCTTCTCGGGGGTGCAGAGAGATCCTCATGCAAGAACGCTGAAATATGTTTTAATGTTTGAATCCTAGTATTTCCCGTTTCGCTTCAAGTGCCGAAATTTTAGGTTGCTGACCAAAATTACTTTAAATTTTAAAGAAAAGGGATCTGTTAGCAAAACTTCAGGTAAACTGCTTGGCGTCAGATTTCCGTGGTGGATTCAAACTTTCTCATGCAAAATATCAATGTCCAGTCACCGAGGAGCTCGTTGCTGTAGACCTATTCATCACTGCAAATTTAACAGTGGAATGCGGAATGCACTTTCAGTTATCGCCACAGGTGAGCAAAACCATACCCTTATTTAAGTTCACGGATTGGCCGGTATTCATCAATTAGGATCGTTCGATCAAGAAATTAAACATTGAGGCCATCAATTCAGCAAAAATTACGGTGATCACGGGAAGTTTTCAAAAGGTAGCACATATTAAGTTCTATCGTCTCTCTCAAAGGAATAATTAAATTTAAAAAACTCACAGCGAATTCAAGAAAAGACTTTCTCCCTCTGGCCCCAAGGATGGATGTGGGGGAAGCACGGGTTCCTCAGGAAAATGGGGGCAGTGGACGTGGCAGGCGGCTGCGTCGTGCACGGTGTCGGAGCCACCACCGCCCTCATCTTCACTATCCTTCTGGGACCCAGGAACAGGTAAGGCTTCCACCTCCGTGCAGGTTCTTCCAAGCGAGTTCCTGCAGCGAGTGGCGCTGGGCTAGTTGACTCAGGCAAGGGATTTTCGCCTCGCGAGTGCAGCCAACTCAAACTCGAACAAAAAAGTCCAAAAGTCTGACCAAATAAATGTCGAAATTGGCATGATTCCCGATATTGGGTCGCGACAGATGCTTTTAATAAGAATGCAAGAAGAAGCAGGCAATTCCCATTCCTTGAGTGCGTGCAGGCCCCTGAGGGAAGAAACCATGCAGAAACGTTGCAGAGAACGCTTCTCGAGCGAGAATCCTGCATGCTAAGGCTGCTTGTCATTTAGATTAAGATCTTCGGGTCTATCCCGCTAGTTCGGTACGTCATTTTTTTTACCTTAGTCTACCAAATAAGTTCAGATGCCTTTGGTAATAGCTTGGACAAGTTCTTTAAGGTCCTTTCGCCTTCAATCAGAGGTCGTTCACGTAGAGATTGACCGATTGGAAGTAAATCGTTCCTCATTAAAAAATCCTGAGGGAGTCCTATAAGATTTATGAAGCATAAAAATCTTATCAGATCCAATTGGAATCCTGTAGGATATACGAGTATCACTGAGGATAAGAATTTTATTTTTATAAATCTTTTAGGCATCCCATAAGAATTTTATTGGATATTTTTCTGCGTGATTCCTCTCGGATCTTATTGTTAATTATAGGATCACGTTTTAGAATCTTAAGAGATACCTACATTGTTTAATTTGACAGTGATTCTGTGGCAACATGTCAGAAATGGATATGCCTAAAATATGAATTTTCCTAGAGGACGGGATGAGAAAATGTTCACAAAATCCAGTTATTGATTGATGCTTTTTCCCCTCCTTCTGCCTACTCGTGACGGTTATTGGTGGTAGAAAATAAGCATTACAGGAAATAAATAAACAGAAAATAAGCAGACCGAAATGCCTAGCTTCGCTAGACAATAAATATGAAACTGATCATGTGTCAACTGGTCTAATACTCCTAAATTTCATTTTCTAGTCTAATACCCCTAAATTGTTGAGGAATGGCCCTCAAGTTATCGCACACGAAATAGGCTGTTGCAATTGCCATCTATATCCAATAAGCTAAAAATCAAGATTATTTCCATGTCCCTTTAGAGCAGGAGTTTGACAGTTCTACACCTCAGTTTCAAGTTGTGCCAGTTTGCCAAACGAAATCTGCTTGGCGTTGTATTGACGTGTCAGACGGAATGAAGCGATAGTAGAGAAACAGCGGAACGCAATATTGCTCCGCATAAAAATGAATCAATTCGTGCCACACACTATGCACGAAAAAACATAAATGCACAAGGAAATAATGTCACTAGGCATACGAGACAAAATATATTGATAGCGAATCACTGCGCGCGTTGCCACAGCCAGACTGATAACAGGTCCGCCACGGTCATTTATGAATATAGACATTAAATGAGATATACACGACTATGATAATCATACAGTAGGATATCACCCAGGAGTAGATGTAGGAACACAGTGTTTATCTTTAAGCTACACCTCTCGCACTCACTGAGAAGTCGGGAAGGGATCGTTCACGAAAGGCAATGCATATCCGTCTGGTTCCAACCAGACCTCAACCGAGGGTGTCTTCGCTAACTGCCCCAGGGGAAGAGGGGGTAAGGGGGAGGATGACAAAGAAGGGGAGGAGGAAGGCGATTCGAGTGCCAGGGAATCGGGCATTCACAGAGTTCGGTGATGGAGTGGCTCGGATTTCCGAACCAAACTTGGGAAGCGGGGGATTGGGTCTGGGTTGCGGCTAGCTCTTTCTCCGCTGACAGGTATCGGAAGAGTGTCTGCTTAGTGTTGGGAAAACACCCGCCAAGCTGCATGCCACAAGGAGGGAACAACGTTATCTTGAAAATCACTAGTTCAATCGCGGATATAGGAAACCCGTCGGCTGCCCTCAAGGCCATCTGCAAGCCCGTTCGAGGAGCGTCCCTGCCTGAAGGACTCTTTGAAGGATTTCGGTTTCGATTGCCTATGACAAACCCTTCCTCTCTGTGCATTGTAGCTGAAAAATCTGTTGCTACGTGTGTCAGCCGCATGCCCCCTTTTAAAGGTAAAAGAATCTGGGCATTCGCCTCCGCATTCTTATGCTGTCCCACGTTTGGTTGGGTCGGGAAGCAGGCCCTTCTCAAAGGACCAGACAACGATCTGGATCCCATTCTGCAGAACAATGCCTCGGTACTGCTTTAATGAACTTCAATTGAAGTTTTGTCGTCTTGTTTCGCATCGATATTATACAAACCTTCCATCCCGAAATGGAGAATTGATACAGAAAATATGAACCGGACAGGAAAATCCTTTTCTTGTCACGTCTGAACTTGCTTTCAAGTACCTGTCCGGCCACTTTCAAGTACCTGCCCGCGACCTGGTCTAAAGGAATACCCTCATTTTTTTAATCACATGTGCAGAGACAAGCAAGCAGACTCCCGGGGGATTCCTTCGGCGAACAACACCCTCGTCGGGTTCTACATGCTCATTTGGGGATATTTGGGAATGAATTGCGGATCGACTTTCGGGGTTCGGGGCACGAAGTGGCATCACACTGCGAAGTGAGTCGCGTCCGTCAGAGGCTTTCCTATAAAGGAATCGAGAATCCAACGCTCTCAGAAATCTAAAGACCGATTTCGATTCATTCCCCCAAAAAAAGGGCAGCGGCGACGACGATCACAGCAGCCATGGTTGGCTTCTCCGTCGCCTTGGTCGTCAGCTACGTCGTCACCAGATACAGGACGGGCAAGGGAAGGTATGACGTCGTCGACATCGTTCAGGGCACCCTGGGAGCCATCGTGTCTGTCACCGGTATGATATGGCCCGAGTTACGGATTCTCCTTACAGTTTTGGATTTATGGCTTACAGTTAGTAATTCAATAATTGTCCACGTTACGAGAGGAAAGTATTTAAATTCAAAGATGTTTGACTCTGAAACTAAAAAAGAAAACATTGGTACAGGCATTTTAAATGTTTCTCTTTACGGGAGGAATTGATAAGAGAGTACTTCACCATTAAAAGCACTTCTCGCTTCCAATAGCATTCCTAAGCATCATTGGCATCAATTTCTTGTTTAACGCCGATTGTTTCCGCTTGAGAAGGCTTTTACATGCCCAGTGGGCCAAAAACATTGGCCTCTCTCATCTGAAACAATTTAAACAAATATACGAAATTATGTTCTGGTCAGAAATGGTGCACCTATGACTCTGCAAGTCATAGAGGTATCTGACAAATAAAAACTTTTAATAGTTGTTATTATTCAATACAGGGTGACTCAAAAGTCCTTGGACACCTATTGAAAAAACCGTTGGACAAAAGATAGCCAGGTGATTTTTTGAGTGAAGCAACATCTACTACAGATCTATTTGCCTTCCAAGTTTCAGGTCGAAAGCTCTTGATATGGTTCCCAAACATCAAAGTGATTTTTCATAACAAGAGTGGTCTTCCAGCAAGCAGGATCTCAAAGCTCATCAAAACCCCTCGATGTACAGCATTATTCGGCGATACAATGAGCTTGGATCAGCAGCAGATCGCCAAAGAAGTGGACGTCCTTCCGTGTTCCAGGATGAGAAGCTCCAGAAAC